TAGTATACTTCAAGTATGATGTAAAGTTCACTTTTAAAAAAACGTACGAGTATACTTGCAGTATAAAACTACTAAACTAGTAGTTTACTGAGACTATACTTCAAAGTGTACTAAAAATGCTACTACAAGTATTTAATTAGTAAACTATCAGTGTACCTGTAAGTTCACTTTTAGTATAGTTGCAGTACAAACTAAACATTTTGATGTAAACTAGTTGTGTACTAGTATACTTATAAGTATACTTTTATATACTAGAAAGTGGGCCAATTTAGTCCCAAGGAGTATTGAAATAGTACACTTACAAATATACTACTAGTACACTGATATTTGTATACTTACTACGTAAAGTATACTTAAAAATATACTTGATCTTTACTTAAGTATACTTCCTAAAATAAACTTAAAGTATACTAGTTTTTGGTAAGGGTTATCTCACAGAGATTTCTATTGCCACGTTCCACGGTGTTTATTTGCTCTTTCGTCCTACACCTTTTCTTTCTTAGGCAGAAAAGATAGATTACCACTTATGTTTTTGCAGCTGCAGCAAACACAGAATACTTCAGAAACTTCAGTGTGCAAGGTCTCACGGAGCCCGTGTGCCATTTTCTCTTTTTGCTGGTTCATCTTTTTTGTTACGAAACATGAAACACCTGTATACTTGAACTATGTACCGCTGACAAAGCCTGCGTGTAGTCCTTCGTAATAAATCACCTACTAATTGAGTTCACTGTTTCCTATCGGGCTACAGTATTGCACTTCTCTCAAGGATGAATGGGGAATTACTGCCATCTAGCGGGGGGGAAAAGTTGTGAAGATGTATTTCTTTCTTTTTCTTGACATATTTCTTTCTTTATTAAACATTTTACCTGAAACAACTGGTAGAGCATTTTAACCAGTAATTTGATCTGAAAAACAGTAGAAGAGGGCTGATATTGCCAGTCTGTAGTAGCTACATGACAAAGCAATCTGTTAGCAATCTTGTACATTCCAATGACAGTTGCTCTGCTGGAACATTTTTGCTTTTGCATTAATATGAGAAGAAGGTTTATAAAGTATTCAGTCATAAATGCACAAATCTGTTTTCTGTTATTAAATGCTCATTGGAAACGGCAGATGGAAACAGCTGTAGCATCATCCACGAGGACGTAGAAATGCTTGGTTTTTAGTGTTACACATTTGCAGTTATTTTTACAATTTTACGATTTCCAGTTCCTTATATTGCTCGTGTAAGGGACCACTTATTTTTACACTGCTGCTGACAGTGATTGGCCTAAAGCCATCTGCAGGAGTGAGTCCACTTCATTATGAAAGAAGACTCTTTGAATCAAGTGTCACTCTATCCAAACCCTTCAGGAGATCAGGCGGATCTAGTCACAAATCCTGTCTCCTCTCTTCATCTGTAAAATCACTTTTAAACAACGTTTTAATAATGCATCAGTTACAAAATTCTTAGAAGAATATCCTTCATGAAAAATGTATGTCCATAACAATAATGTTGTACAAATTGTAGGCTACAGCATGACACTGTCCTTTTTTTCTTGTGGTTCTCAAAATGTCTTTTAATTTATTTTAATGTGAACGTATCTTTGTAGCTTGGCCAAAACATCAAGTTGTTTTAATGCTAACAACCAGCATAATGGCCTACACATGTTTGTTTCTGTTCTCAGGGGTACCATGTATTTTCTGAGAAGGTCTTTTCTTACTTGGTGGCCTCAGGAAGTTCAAACCAAATATACTATTTACTACTTGCTCTTGATTGGAGTGACCCAATTTCCTATCTATCTATATCTTCCTTTATATACAATATGGTGACTACTACACTCTTAAAAATAAAGGTGCTTCACGATGCCATAGAAGAACCTTTTTGTCTAAATGGTTCCATAAAGAACCTTTAACATCTGAAGAACCTTTCTGTTTCACAAAAGGTTCTTTGTGGCGAAATAAGGTTCTTCAGATTACAAAAACGCAAGAAAGAGATGGTTCTTTAAAGAACCTTTGACTGAATGGTTCTTTGTGGAGCCAAAAATGGTTCTTCTATGGCATCGCTTGAAGAACCTTTTGAAGCACCTTTATTTTTAAGAGTGTACCTTACCGAAATAACCTGCATTTTGTAAGCCTTAGTCATATTGTGAAGTGAATGAAAACGCACACCATATTTGATATGAGTAATTTGCCCTTTAGTTCTGTGGATTTTGTGTAGCTTGTCAGGAGATCCCAGTGGATAATTTAACAGGATGTGTCCTTTTGTAGGTCTGTGATAGCTCTGTGATTTTTGTTCTGCACTGTTGAACGTGCTGTGTGATCTTCCCAGCTAAATGATTCCCCCCTGCTCTTTCCATCTGTTGTTTTTCACCAAACAAAGCATTGAGGTAGTGGGATTCTGGAAAGAGTTGAAGGAAAGGGCTACTCTGTCACAGAAACCTACTGTTTAGATGCAAGGAGGTGTCGGCTTCAAAGACTGTCCAGGTTTAAATTCCAAATGCTTTTGATATTAGCATAGAAATAATTCCAACACCGATGATCTCTTTCTTCCTGTACTTGGATAAAGGTTACCCAAAAATGCAAAATTGCTGAAAATGTATTCACCCTCAGGGATTTCCAAGATGCAGATGAGGTTGTTTCTTTATAGAAACAGATTTGGAGAAATTTAGTAGTGCATCACTTGCTCACCAATGGATCCTCTGCAGTGAATGGGTGCCGTCAGAATGAGAGTCCAAACAGCGGATACAAATATCACAATAATCCACACAACTACAGTCCATCAATTCTTGTGAATCAAAAAGCTACTTATTTGTAAAACTAAAATAAATATGAATCTATAATGCATAATATTGCTTTCTCCTTTTCTAAATTTCTCCAAATCTGTTCTTATGAAGAAACAAAGTCCTCTTTATCTTGGGTGGCCAGATGTTGAGTACATTTCCAGCAAATTTTGAGTACATTCTTAGCTAATTTTCGTATTTGGGTAAACTATTCCTTTAAATGAAAGAGGTGCAGATGCTTCATTTTAAATGAACATGAAACTTGACTAGACGGACATCTCTGCAACCTCCCTGCAGCAATCTGTGCACTCCTATGGTTTTGCTGTAATAATGATTCAGTCTGGATGACTGGATGTTTTTTTTTATTATTAAATTCAAATCAAGCTGGAGAGCTTTCCAAGGTGTCACTGCTGTAATATTAAAATACATATTTGTTTAGATATGTTTGCAAAGTACAGTTTATACAAGATTTTATCCAAGATACAAAAGTAATTTAGAAGCTGTTTCTGCACAAAATACATTTTGAGATAAATTAAATATATTCCCTAAATATAGTTTACATATTTGTTTAGATATGTTTGCAAAGTACAGTTTATACAAGATTTTATCCAAGATACAAAAGTAATATAGAAGCTGTTTCTGCACAAAATACATTTTGAGATAAATTAAATATATTCCCTAAATATAGTCTCCTTCAGGATAGGGTTTGTCTGACATTTTTTTAAACCAAGTTTCTCTAGTTTATTTAATGTTTAAGATGTGATTGGATCATGTTTTGATACCTGGGGCATCACTTGACATAGATTTTGTTTTCTTTTGCTGGTGTAAGCAGGGCTGGTGAGACAACAAATATGATTCATACTGACCTTTGTCATCTGCTTTTGCTTCAAGCATGTTTGGCTTTTGAAAAATTCCTTTGTTTTTATGTAAATGTGGCTACAGTGCCTCCATTTGCGAAATGTTTAGTTATGGATATTAATGTTTAGATAGATAGATAGATAGATAGATATGACAGAAAATACAGAATTTTTGAGTTGTTGATACAGCTAATCAGATGCTTTAATTTGCATATATAAATATATGCTTTAAGTTGCATATAAAATGTGTGCTAAATGATGCTAAACTAACTAAGGACATCACAGATGGTTTGCAGATGGTGATGTTTCAGCCATGCATGAATTAAACATCAGTTGGTCAAAATCTTATAGACATCTGTAGAGCATAATATTTGGGGTTGCCGGGTTCATAAGGAAAATTATATTTTCTATGACTACCTTGTTATTGACTAGGGCACGGAGTCCTCATACTGTAAATAGCACACTGGATGTTGTCCAGTCTTTGCTTTAATGTCTACAAGTGAGATTGTATTTTCTAAATAACTGGATGTTAACAAGGAATTCATTTTTGATGAAGGTGACATTGCCTCCTCCTTCCTAACTGGCTTATGCCCAGTCAGCGGAGCGCTTGTCTCACCTCTTAGATTTAGATCTGCTGAGTCAGCTGTCAGTTCCTGCTGTCACTTTCTGTTTTCTCAATCATAGATAAATGAAAATCAGCGACCATGTGCATAATGCTTCTTCCCATTCATTTGAACTACAAGACTTCTTAAAAAACAGCCTATTGCTGCACCTCTAGACGGCAAACAACCATTTGTTTATCTAGACTAATAAATAAGATCATGGGACCATTTTTATGATACTTTATTTGCATCCTTTTGTGCTTTATCATCCTAAGAACTGAATAAAATGCCGTCTAACATGCCTAACAAACAGTGTATGGGAATGACTCAAGAGTATTGTTGAGTAGAGCTGCATAAACGAAGAACAAAAGTAATTTAGATTGTCTCTTTGATTGTATTTTCAGTTCTGTGCTTGTCAGAGTTATTTTTTATCCTTTCCATCATCTGGTCAGTGCTACAGAATAAATCATACAGAAATAATACTCTTTATACAGAAGACAGAAAGCATCATGCACAATGCTTTTAGTAATATTTTTACAAATCCAATTTTATCTCATGCTAGAAAACTGTCTCATCAGAGATGAGGTTTGCAAATAAAGTTACATAATAGTCGGTGAGATAAGGTATTGTAGGCTACTAGAAGAAAAAGCTTTCCTTCTTTTGACACAATCGCCATCCAGCGGTGGCATAAAAGCAACGCACAAATCGAAAACGAATGTAAACGTGTCGTAGAAAATGGCGGAAATCATCGTGAAAAACAAACTTAACCTGATCAAATGGCTTAGTTCGGATCATGTAATTCTTTTGCAACATGTTCAAGTTAATCAACTTATACCAACGGCTCAGTATAGAGAGCTGATGGACATGACCGGTAAAGACAGAGTCGTTATCAAACTTCTGGACATTATCCTTGGAAAGGGTGAAAATGTGTGTCGAGATTTTTTGGATTTGTTAAAAAATGATGATGTGAATGAATTGTATCCTGAGCTCAGAGGATGGATCAAAACAGTGGACACTAAAGATAACGCATTGTGCACACTTATAGAGAGGCCCAAGTTATATTCATTCATACCATATCGACATGTCAAAAATAGGCTAAAAGTCCATTTAGTGAAACTATGGCTCATTTTTAGCTGAATTGGGTGGATAAATGGGCAGCAATCAACTGTTTTTTTTTTTTTTGATAATGGGTTTTGTTTAAAAATAATAATTTACCCCAGAACATACAAACATATTCGACCTACTGAAAAACGCCTTCCAGCCTAGTGTGAAGTCACTCTACATTAACAATAATTTAGTTAAAATATAATGTGATTTAGTGGAAAACGACTGATTTGTAACTGAGTTGTAGCTGGGCGCCCAAGTGTCTTTATTCAGATAGTTCACCTTTAGTGTAATAATAATAATAATAATCTTATTTATAACGTTACAGACCTGAAAGCAGAAAAAGACTGCAATAATGGAGAAAGTGGTAACAGGCCAAAGCAAGGTTAGATTTTAGATCTTGATTCAATCTTTTTCTGTATATACAGTATGTATGTATACATGCATGTAGAGTGCCCTCCACTGATATTGGCACCTTTGATAAATATGAGCAAAGTGTGAAAATAAATCTGCATTGTTTACCCTTTTGATCTTTCATTCAAAAAATTAATTCAGTAAAATATCTCTGAAGTATATTCCCATTCATATTTACATTTTTCAGCACACCGGGGTGACTAGGAGCATGAAATTGTCCAGCCATGACGTCCTGTTCCACAGGATTATAAATATGAGGAACACAAAGGCCACATTCCCTTATTCATCCATCACAAAGAGTAAAACCAAAGAATATAGTTCTGATGTGCACAACAAGATTGTTGAGCTTCACTAAATAGGAAGTGGCTGTAAGAAAAGAGTTAAAGCATTGAAAATCTCCAGGGCAATAATTAAGAGATTCCAATCAACTAAAGATGTTACAAATCTGCCTGGAAGAGCACATGTGTCTATATCATCCTAATGCACGGTGAGAAGGAGAGTTTGAGTGGCCAAAGATTCTCCAAGGATCACCGCTGGAGAATTGCAGAGAGTAGTTGAATCTTGGGTTCAGTATATTCAGTTGTCAGACACGACTGGAACCTCAAATGGCACTGGCTTCTATGGTCAGATGAAACTAAAGAAAGAGCTTTTTGGCAACCAGATGGGTTTAGTACAAACAGATGAAAAGTACCCCATGCCCACGGTTAAATATACTGCTGGATCTTTAATGTTGTGGGCCTGTTTTTTTGCCGGCGGTCCTGGACATCTTGTTTAGATTCATGGCATCATGGATTCTATCACATACCAACAGATAAAAAATCTAAACCTGGCTGTCTCTGTTAGAAATCTTATAATGGGCCGTGGTTGAATCTTCCATCAGGACAATAATCCAAAACAAACATCAAAATCAACACAAAAATGGGTAACTGAGCACAAAATGAACTTTTGCTATGGCCGTCCCAGTCCTCCGACCTGAACCCTATAGAAAATGAGTGAAGTGAACTGAAGAGAAGAAGCACCAACATGGAGCTGTGAATCTGAAGGATCTGGAGAGATTCTGGATGAAGGAATGGTCTCTGATCTCTTATCAGGTGTTCTCCAAACTCTTAAGGCATTATAGGAGAAAACTCAGAGCTGTTATCTTAGCCTTAATAATTGTGGCCAACATGAACTAGACAAAGCATTTATTTTACAATTAGACCCCCACCCCACCCACTTTCAATTGTTTTACTTCAATGATAGGTTAGAATTTTGTAAATATTTTGAATGAAAGATAAAAAGGATAAACAATGCAGATTTATTTTCACAGCCGCCTTTTCTCATATTTACCAAGGGTGCCAATATTTTAATGGAAAACGATGGATTTTCAGTTTGGAGTTGTAGCTGGGAGCCCTCAAGTTTCTTTATTCATATTTCAGCTTTAGTGACATTGAATTGGCCTGTATGGAAAAGAACTGTAAAGTTGCTATGAATACTTTTAAATATGTATTGTGGTAAACTGTGCAGATCACTGTAATGCAGTACATTCAGCATAGATACATACATAAAACATAGGACGCTTGCATGATTTTTGCCATTCAAAACAACATACCTCTCTCTCTCTCTCTCTCTCTCTCTCTCTCTCTCTCCCTACCATTAAGTAACTTGTGCATTGTTTTACTTACTTGTTTTTGACATATCTGACCAAACTACAAACTTTCCAATGATGTCTGTGAGAAAGGTATATTCACTCGACAAGCTCGCGCATCTGCGCCACCGCGCGCTCAATCCACTGAGTGTACTTTGTTTATCAGCTCGCACACACCAGCTATACAGGCGTTAATACTGAATGTTTAACATTATATTCATTGCATACATATACTTCGTAGTAGACATCCATAACTCCTTCCTGCTGTCTGTTGTCAGTGTTTCTTTGTTTGAATATGGCGCTTATCACATGCTGTTTGGTATCGGGGCATTTTAACGAGTATGAGTACAGGAGGCCAGTATCGGGCCCGATACCGGGTGCATCCCTATTTTTAAGCAAAATCAATAAAACTTATAGGATGAAATGACTACCAATTACTTT